TTTCCCCAAGTAAAAGAGCATAATAACACACACACAAACGAGGCAGTTTAATCTTCACACAAATCAAACAGGTTTTCAGCACTTTCAAGAGTCCTTGCTCTCACACCCCTCCTGCACACAACTCCAGCCTACTCAAAATACTCTGCTTTGCAAAAATCAGCAGGAGGTGCTGGTGAAAGGAAAGCAGAAAAGGCAAAGCACTTTATCTGACACTGTAGTTCATAGCACCAGACTGATACGATGGACATAACTCTCCCTTTTTGCTATTTAGCTGCTCTTTGTTACAGCATGTGAGTGGCTCAGCTAAGTGACATTTACCTGCAACCTGCACCAACCTGGAACATATTCTGGAAAATTATATTTGACTTTACAGGTATTTGAAAAGTATAGTAAGCAGGAAGTGCTCCTCTGAAGTGGGAACAATTAGATTAATGATAAGAAATTAAATAAGGTGATTCAATATCATTAATAAAGAACAACAAACAAGGTAACAGCAGGAGCTATTAAGTTCCCACTGATTTGATTAAGAGTACTTTATGATCTACACTGCTCAGGGCATTAAGACCTACCTGGGAAAAAATGCTCCCCTACAGCAGAAGGGAAGGCAGTGTTCTATAGATGAACAAAACCTTTTCCATTTTTTTTAATTTCATCATTCACCTCAAAACTTAAAGGGACAGCTAGCAACTCAACACAGGTGTGCCCAACTCTCATGCAGCAGCAGTTTAAACTAAATTGAGCCCTTGCAGAGCTGTTGCACTGTCTCTGTAAATGTTTCCCCAGGACCAAACGCAGAGAGAAAAAACAACACATAAAAATGCACTGAAAAATCAGAAGTGGGATGAAGAATACACGAACTACCAGAACACTCTGGTATTCAAGTATTTGCTACTACTTTTAACTCATTACAATGGCTCCAGTCCCACGCTACCTTATTCTCAAACCAGTTCCTGCCAGACAAATTGACCCTGTGGTATCTAACCTTCCTTTGATCAGTCTCTGAAACACTGTGGTGAAAGCACATCTTGATCACAATAAATGGGCATGCTTCTACAGTATGGCTACACTTAAAATAGTCCAGGTATTGTCCTCTATACCACAGCCATAACTACTCACATAATGGCTACTCTGACCTGGAGAAAGTACCTCAGCAAGAGTTGTTTATGATTTCCTAGGGAGTTCTTCACCCTCACAAATCTTTAAGTCAGTACAAAGGGTTGAAGCCTTTATTTGTGATGGCAGTTCTAAACCAGACAGCACTCCCACTAATTTCGGTGAGGGTTTGCCTGTGTGCTGGTATTCTAAATAATATTAAGACACCTTCACTTTGAGAGAAGCAGTCTAAGTGTTGAGCATTGTGCCAATTTAACCTTATCTGTTACAATACAGCTGTTACAATGCAGGTAGATTTTAAGCACTGTTCAGACAAGCTGTAAATATTCTTCAGGCAAAGACTAACAGACTACATAAGAAAAACAGATATTTTTCAGGAAAAGACTCCTGAGTGGAAGGTAACAGAGCTTTGTGTTCAGGTGCAGTACACGAGAACTCCGTAAGAATCAGGAAACTCACTCACGTTCCTTGCTGAGGTATTACAGATAAGCCATATACAGTATCTCACCAATGATGAAAACATTTTAAAATGCAGACTCATTCAGCTCTGATTTTCAGTAAAGAAATATTAAGTATCTACTTTAGGGACAGCTTTGGTTTTTACCTTTCTAGTCCTACTAGCCCTGCAGAGCCTGCAGCACATTTGCACACCAGGAGGACTTTCTGGTGCTGGTCCCAGAGACCTCTGCCACCATACTGATGTAGCTGTGCTTGCAGAGGCTTCCCCTAAAGGACGTATGCCTGCTGGGCCTTTGCTACCGAGGAGGCTTAAGGAAAGCAGTCTGACTTAGGTTTCGAATGCACAACCTTTCCCATCCCACGGCAACCTTTTCTAGCTCTCCATCTCCATGTCTGGTAGCCAAGCAGGCTCCGTTTCATGTATTCATCCAAAACATCAGCCAAACTCCCTCTTGAGATCTGTCAGAGTTAGCGAGGGCAGGAAAAGCTGTGTACTTGAACTGTTTAATGTGGCTTGTTTGACAGAAACTGGCAAGGGAACACACACACAGGCAACTGAGACAGCAGACAGGGAGGTGGTGAACTTCAGCAGGGAAGAAGAAAAAAGCGCCTTAAAACAATAAGTTCTTCCACCAACAGTCTGTAGGGCTGGCAAATGGTTTTCTTGACAGGAAGCAAATCTGATCTAAATCAGAACTGATAGGAGAATATTTTCAGAGAGGCTTTTCAGAGTCCAGTTCAAAAGTGGTAAATTACAGGGACCTTGATTTGTATCTACAAAAGAAAGGAATATCCCCTGCATAGTTTCTGGGAGATCTGGACATTTCAGGGGTGAAAGAAGACAAGTTGGGCTTAGTCATTTTAAGCATGTTTTTTCCCCCTCCACAAACTTAGTCAATCAACCCCATTCAGAAGTGCACTGATTGCAGGCAGAGCTTCCAAATATCTAGAAACTCTCACCCCCATTACTGCAAACAACAGCAGTTTTGTTCCTCAGGAGTCCAACCGGCCTTACTGCTTATCTCCACCTGAAGGCAGAACAATTCTGCTTTTGGTAGCAAAACTATCCCTGCAGTGGCCAAACAAAACTTCTGAAGAGTTTATGATTTCAGGCAGAGAATCGACAGAGTCTTCTGCACTCCATAATCAGCAAAAATGTGTTTTATAACATTGTTTAATCTAAAAGAGGAGAAAACCAGCTCAGGACAAATATAGTCTATAAGGAAAAGTGTTTCAGTAAGAAAGCTTTTCCCCTGAGGCAGCACACTTAAAACTGCAGAAACACTAGAAGTACTTAATGCAAGTACTTAAACTATAATAAGCTAGATTCTCTGCTCATCTTGTGAATAATAAAATGTATCAGTGGGATGAAGCCAGACCAAATAGGCAAATAAGTAAGAACAGCAAGTTTACAATTGCTTAACATAGGTACTTGACTTGATATTTGCAATCAGCCTCACTGAATATTAATGGAATGGTGAAAAAGTTAAAGATCTGCATATTTATCAGAATTAGCTCTATATTTTTAGCAATAAACCAAGGGGATTAGAATAATAATTTTTCAATTATAATCTTTTCAGTACACATACTTCTAGATGTTTGCTTTCTTTTGTTCTCAAGCTGTTGAGGTAGAAGCTTAGTTTTTCAGTTTCCCAGTTATCAGTGAAATCACATCTTGCACAGTGTAAGCCATAGACACTTTCTACTAGTGTCTGCAAGTCAGAGTCCCTACCTCCCTGGATCTCAGAAGGGAGAAGCAGGACATGGTAGAAAATCTGGTCTCTTCCAAATGCTAATTCACTTGCTCAGGGTTCAGGGAGTCCCTCAAAGCACTGAGGAAAGAGCTCTTGATCTTCTACATTGGCAATCAAAGGAAGGTTTAGAGCAATTTTATCAGCCAGCCAACATCAGAACTGGAGCATGGTTTCCATGTGGTGACAGCAGAAAAGCTATAACCAGTCCTTACTCTCAAACTCAACTGAGGTGCTACTATGCATAAGAGAGGCAGACCAGCTTAGGCCTCTTGGATGGGGGCTCTGAGCAACCTGACCTAGCTGAAGATGTCTCTGCTCATTGCAGGGGCATTGGACTAGATGATCTTTAGAGGTCCCTTCCAACCCAAATTATCCTACAATTCTGTGATTCCATGAATATACATACAAACGTCTTCTGGGGCACCAGGGACAAATCCAGCCATGGATTCGTAAAGCTCTTCATCTGAGCCAGGATTCAAGGAACATTTCATTAACAGATCAGTGGACAGATGAGCCATGGACTCATAAACAGACTCATCCTCCTCGCCTTGCATCAGCTCTTCCTTAATGTGACTCTTCAGCATATCTGCAGTTTCCTGGAGAGGAAGGAGGGCAAGAAAAAAATAATGTTCAAGTCTCATTTAAATAAGGAATCTGGAGAATCAAAGCAAGCAAAAGATATCTCACTTTCCCATCACTGATGGAAAAAAACTTCTAAAAGCAGCCCGTTCCCAAAGACTAAGCCTTCTCAAAGGAACTAAATCCCCACTACAGCTGTCTGGGCCCAGCCTTCAAGATCTGTGTTGTAATAACAGTCAATGAAGGTGAAACAAGCTGGTGCTGACACATTCTGAATAGCCATTAACAGGCTCTCACTCCCCTCAATTTCATGTCCTACCCAATGTCTGCAAACTCCTAGAACATAAGCAAAGCTCATTCTAAAAATACAAATGCTTCTCAAAGGCTATTTTGGGGTAAGCATAGCTGGCCATAAGCTTGCCACATGTAGAGCACTTACAAGAAATCAAAGTTTTAGCTTTGGTGTAGATTCAGTTTCAGTTTCTTGGCATTAGCAGTGGCACATAGCACCCAGAGTGGGAGTACACAGACCCTTTTCTGTGATATTAACAGGAAACCTCACAGCAGGCAGCTGTTCATGTAATACAGGCAACTTTCAATTCACAGGACAGCAGAACCCGTTCTCACATATTTGCAAAATGAAGGGGGAGGGCAGTGCAGATCTTCACCAAACCAAGTAAGGGAGCAAAATATAAAGCTTCATCCCAGCCTCCTCCCCAAGTTCCAACTATGTCACAAGCACAGCCATCTTAACCAGTTGCAATACTACAAGATATTCTTTCATCCACAACCACCACCTCATGGGCCTTCAATCCACAGGGCATGTGTGTCAAAAATGCTTACACGTGCTTCCCTCCACAGTCAAATGGGTCAGGCAGGTAGCTCATGTAATGCTTTAGGGAGGTGCAGAGGAACTTTTGCCAGACAGAAAATTAGGTGAGTAAAGGGGTTTACTGGGATTTTCAGATATCCATCCTAGTAGTGCTTCTAGTCACTACCTTGCAGTGGACACACTGGTGCAGATTATTTGTGTGCTCTGGTACCAAGCTGCACAGATAGCTTGATGGTCAATAAGCAGAACCTACTCTTAACACAGCTCTGTCACTGTGCTGGTGGAGAGGGGGACATGGGAGGAGCACAATACTGCAACAAGAGGTTGGAAGGACTTCCTAAGCATCTCTCTACCCCAGTGCAAAGATTTTAATCACACAATTTACATTTTCTTCAGCTCTCCTGATCTTAGAACAGGTAATGACCTTTATTTAGCTCTCACGTATAACCCTAAATTCATGCTTATGTCAAGAAGCAAGCCCCAAGTCTAAAAACCACTCATGCCTCCTAAATAGGACTTAAACACTACTGTAATTGGCTGGCAGAACCACACTAAGGCTGGCAGATCTATCACCCACCATTCAGACAACTGTTAGGGACAATTATACACAACTTTTCAACTGAAAGCAAAGGCAAATAAAACCTGCTCAATAATTCATGTGATCTGAGTCAAGTAGCTGCTTGTTATTTTGAAGCATACAGGCTGGAAACAACTCGAATGGAAAAGAGGATAAATCCCATGCACACTGAAGGACCCCACAGAAACAATTGCCTGATGTAGCTGGAGTCAGATCCATGTCATAATCTGGAAAAGTCAGACTGCTGTTTTCTGGGCATGGGGTTGCTCAAAGAGAACTAAATTGTGAATTGGGCTCCCAGAGAGAACAGGTAGGGAACAGACAGCTATCCTAGAGCAGGAAGACATGGATTTCAAGTGGAGCAGGCAGACTACACAAATCACCTGTGAATGAGCTAATAATCAATCCAGGCTGTATGACTGACTATGATTAATCAGAGAGCACCTCAGATAGTACCTTCCCAAATATTCTGTTTCCATATTACTCCCTAAAGTAAGTGGGATGAAGGGGCTGTAGTTTTCCCAAGATCAGGGGTTAGAAGAATACACCAGGCACCAACCATATGCCAACAGAAATTTCATTAGATGGATGGATGACAAGGAAACCCAGCATGGCAGTCTGCTTCCATCATATTTGCTCTGTGCAAAAGCCCCAAGAACTTCCCCAGCTTCAGAGATGCACCCAAGCCTCCAGCCTGGAAGCTTTCAGTGTGGCTGGATGTCAGTCTTCTATACCATACCACACACTGCACCCTTTATTACCCCATCACTCCTCCTCCCACAACACTAAGTGCCAAGCTTGGTGCCACTGTCCACACCTGCTGTGGAACAATGCAGAAGGACTGCTGCTTCCTCTTACCACATATTCATCAATGAATTGGCGGAGGTCCTTAAAGCCATGCTTTTCTGCTATGGTGTTTGGATAGTGGCCGTATTTGTTGGCCACGCTGTAGGCCTGCAGTGCTCCAGGGCATGTAAGCAGCAAGGCAGTGAGGTTCTTCAGCCCGTATCTTGCAGAAAAGTGAAGCAGTGTTGGCAATTCCTCATCCCTCTGATCTGTGAGAACAGGAGCTTGTTAGAATTTAAGGTTCTCTCTAGCAGCAGCAAAGACAGTAGGTGAGAAACAAAATTCCTAGCAAACACACAGACCAAAGCAGGAGTGAAAGCCCTGAAAAGTATATAGTTTCAAAATGGAGCTAACTATGCACAAATTAACTGAGGTATCTAGCGCATCTCCATGCTTAAGTCCTATGACCTTTAGTTGTCCTTAGAGTAGAGTCATGGGGTTGGGGAAAAAGGACTGGGCTGGGGAGAAATGCCACATGGGACTGCGAGAAGAACTGGGAGTAAACATGTGAGATGTTTTGGAGAGCATGATCTTTTCACTTTGGTTGTGTTTGAAGTGGTCTACATAGCTGCGTGTGTCACGGCGCAAGGAAGTAAGACTGATGCATGTAAGAAAAAAGGGTCACCTGACCCAATGGCAATCCCCTTTCTATTTAGTTTCCTGGCTGAGATCCAAAACTTTTGAGACAGCCTGTGCAGGTACCACACACTGTAGTTTTAAGGCACTCCAAGGTAAAACAACTGATACAGATGAAGTTAAAAAAAAAAAAAATCTTTCCACTTACTTGTTGTCATATCTTCTTCTTCCAGCTGGTTGATTCCAAACAGGTGTAAGCCACTGGCAGGAATATTCTTCTTGAGTGACTCAGTCAACAGTTTGTCCAGCGCTTCTATGCTGTATGGCACGATTTTAAAGGCCTAGAGATAAATGGAAAGTGATTTTGTTTGAGGGAGTCTGGAGATTCAGTTAAGGTGAGATTTATAAGGTGTTTCTTTATTTAGCACATATCAGAAAACAGTAGGTAGCAATGTTCAGGTCAAGTAAAGAACATGAATAGCTTCCTGGTCCAGAAACAGTATCCTTAATCTGAGCAGATGAGAACCGTACACCCCACAACAAGATAATACAATGAGAAAGTCACTCATGCAGCTGGAAGCACAGAAAACTGTTATTAGCTACTTCCCTGGCAGGAACAATCTTACTTCTAAAACTGTTCCAATGAAGTGTCACTCCTGCTCTAAGGATGAATTAGTCCATTCTGAATTGCTCTGGTGTGCACTCTATGCCTGGCTTTTGGACTGGTTCTTCAGTAAAGTCTGGGAAGCATGCCTATTGCCCAAGCAGAGGCATAGCCCAGTACCAACTGCTCCACAACTTGAACTAAAAAGAAAGGGAAAGACAGTTTCCCCTGCCCCAGGTATGCTGGTGACTAACAACACTACTCAGTAGGCTTCTGCTACATGGCTGGCAGGCAGCAAAGACAATACATGTGGAGACTTGCTTGTGCAAGCTTTACCTCTCTAATAGGATTCAGGTACCCCAACTGTGCAAAACATGACATGAGAACTGAGGATTGGCTTTAAAGAAATAAGTGCTAAGAATAAACAAATAATTTTATGTTACTCTACTTCATTCAGCTGTATGAATCTTTGCTACCTTTTCACATCTTTTCCAAGACCATTAGGTACAAATTTCTAAACAACTTATGTCTTTATGGTACTTTCTGTTATATCAAGTTCTGTCATCCCAATCTTTTCAAGCCATCAAGGTCTAAATGTGAGTGTTGATTGACCGCCTTTTTTTTTTGTTAGTTGGATAGCCTGAGTCACCTTAGCCAAGTATTTGCTCCAGACACAGAAAAAGCACCCATGCTTTCACTAAAACGGGATATTAAGGTTATGTGAAAATCCCTAAATAACCTTGCACTTCTTCGTTTCAGAAGAGCTACTTCATGGCAAGGACTTTTTCTTATGTGTCCTTGTCTAGCCTCTGAAAGGGCTGGTTTCCAAAGCAGCTGTTTGCTAGAGTCATTACCTGGCACATGAACTGTACTGGGTTGGCTGCATTAGCCAACAGACTGCCAATTTCCTCCATGTCAGTATGATAGGTGATGCTTGTTTCTCCCACCATCAAGTCCCCTGAATATACCTGCAGAGGCACTGTTCCAGAGGTTAAATCTTTGAAAAGAAAGAGAAGAAATCACTGTTAAGAACAGACAATGAGAATGAGTCTGCATCAAAAACCCTGAGGATAGGAGGAGTTTGGAGATACTGCCAGCTGGATACCAAAACAGTTTCTGTTGTATTGAATTCATGAAGAGTCATGAAAAAAAGAAGATGATGTTGGTCTGAACACTAGGTAGGAAAGTACGTTGGAATTACCTATATCATACCTATGTCAATGCACATCACCTGTGGCCTGCTAGGTCCTCTGCTAACAGTAGTCTGGACCACTAATGTTAACAGTATACCACTTCAAACTAGAAAGCCTCACATCTCTCCACCCCGGCTTTCTCTGGAGCAGCCTCTAAACCATGCCATAAAATACGACAGCTGGGGAAGACGGGAAGAGAAACCAAAAAGTCAACTAGTCACTGCAACCCCTGTCAGCCTCACTAGTGTCTGAATGAAATCAGCTTAAAAGAATTCCACCTTTGCAACTTTACCCATGCACAGGCTTTATCTCCTACCTGCACCTTGGGAACTTTGTCTAGTGTGCTTTCATAGGTCTGAACTTTCTCTTTGAAACACAAATATTTTTAATCCCACTAAAAATAATATTTCCCTCTATATATGCTTGGCTGTTAACAACTCAGGAAATGATGAAATAGTCTCATGCGCGAAAGGAATTAAAAATATATTTCTCCTACCGTTAGAAACCACAGAGCTTACATAGTTGTACACTCTATCAATGTTAAGATCATGTTCATAATTCAAAGTGCAAGTGAGTTTCCAGGTCCATGTTTAAATTGTAAGTCTTGATTTAAGACAGATTGAGTTAACATTTTTATGTGGGTGAGGTCACCTTCTTTAAATCAATCCACCTCACTGACTTTACAGGAGTTGCTATAATGAATATTAGTCTCTTCTCAGAGCTGGCACAATGACTCTTCAAGAAGACAGACCAAAGTAGATAAATAAAATCATGCTGGGAAACTACTACCAATCTGTCAGGCTCCAAAATCTTGCCCCTAAAGTTCAGTGAACCTAAAGTTTAGACAACCTACAGTTTTGTAAATGTAAATATCTAGAGTGACAGAACACATCTAAATTAAAAGGCAAGCCAGGAGAAATAGTTTCAGCTCTGATCACAGAGAGATCATCACACATTAAGCATATACTGTTATAGTTACACAGTTATTTACTGGCACTTACCTTCTCTTGGTGCCCTGCCAATGCTAATGTGGTGGTGCTTATAACACACAGTTAAGTTCAGAGTGCTTTAAAAGCTGCAATCTGCTCTCAGAACTCCCAGTAAAGTGTTTCAACACCGCAACCCTGCTGCTGCTGAGGGAAAAACAGTGCCCCCAAGCAGCAGCCTATCTCAGTTCTTCATCATGGAAGTATCACATATAAGAATGCAAGTTCAGGATTTCCTGGCCTCAAGTTTTCCTGCGTTGCAACCTTTACCTTTATCCTCTGGCACTTTTCAGGACAGGCAGGCTGAGAAAGAAAGGAAGCAATGGAGGGAGGAGCGGGGGGAAATCTCAACCCAGCTTACTTGGAGCCTCCACAGATATTGTGTATTCATTCTCCATCTCAGCCAGCACACGCACAGACGATGCATTCTCTGGAGAGAATTCAACTTCAGTTTTCACTTTGCCATCTAGTTTACATTTCATAATAATATAAACCATTGTCTGCACCTAAAAGAAAAGGCATTACAACATGCATGTTCACAACATAACAACATTTACTTTAAGTCCCTTTTCTAGGAATTTGGTTGCCATTGCAGCTAACACATAAATTATCATCTGTCATTTTCACGGTCCTCAATGGTTTTCAAGAGCATCTTCCAGGCATGGAGTAGCTGTGCAGGTGGCTTCTGTTACAGCTTGCACCAGCATAGATACATATATTAAACTGATAAAACTCCAGATTTATCAGTTAGATTTATAAACTGATTAAAGCTAGATTTATAAAATTATTTCGTTTCAACGCTATCAGTCTCTTCCCTCAAGCAGCTCAGCTCCCTTATAAACAGAAACAAAGGAATAAACTTAAACTTTTTCCATCTGAGGGGATGCTATACTAAGAAATGCTGGTTTTCAGACAGGAAGCCATGATCCAAGCTCTTTAGAGTCACTTGCAGGACATGCACCAAAATTGTCATATTAGACTGCAACCAGGCTGTGGAGTTAATTGGTTCATTACAATCACCTTACTCCGCTTGCCACCCTGAAGATGGGAAGTCAAGAGTGTGAACCTGTCTCTCAGCACACAAGACAAGCAGCTATGTTAATAAGACTCTCAATAAGTGACACTGTAGCTTAGACAACACGGAGCACTGCCTGTTACTAAGGTATTTCCGGGCCTAGAGAACTAAGTTTATGAAACAGGGACACTGAAGACAGGGAGCTGAGAGGTAAGGTGACAGAAGAAGAATTAGAGACTTATTCCCAGGCCTGTAAAGCTGTCCATTACAGAGCAGCATAATGGGTTGCACCAGTCCACAATAAGAACGTAGCCCAAGGAATGGACATACAGTACCCCACACCGTATGCGGTCAGGCTGCACCACTGGATGGTCCCCAGTGCTTTTGGATGATCCATGTTCTTCACTCATGGCAAGACTGTGCGAGTAAAATGGGTTCTTCTCGTCTTCTGTTTCTGTATCAGTCACAGAGTCACAGCCTGAGTCTAAAATAAAGCATACAGAGTCCTGTTACATCCCTCTCCTTTGCTGAAAATGCAGCTCATACACATCCACCCTGAGAAACAGCCAGCGAGTTGGTGGGGTGGAACTTTCTATTCTTCTCAAAGTAATGCTCAGTAAAGGGGATCTAGTTGCAGAAAGGGAAACTACAGAGCTTCCTCTTTTTTTCTCTTAAGAGGGTTGCCAGGAAACATTCACAAACACACAAAAGTGCTGGAGTTGCACTGAACATGCTTACAAAAACCAACAATGCCGCTCTTTGCTGAGATGGATAGTCCTTTCTCATGTTAGATAGGAAAGGTAGTATGTCAATGCCTAATACAAGAATGATTGGCAACTGGACTCATCTGACTCCAGCTGCGCTCTGAGAACATTGCAAGATGGGCAGCAGCCTTTAGTCTTCCTCTCCTAAAATAAGAAAACCGACTTGTCTTTCATTTCAGTAGTATCTTTAGCTTTCTAGGATCCTGTTTATGTTGCTCACCCCAAGTTCATTATTGTGTCAACAAAATACAACATGAAGCAGCAATCTGAGGGGATCCTGTTCCTCAAGCAAGAACTATAAGCTCCTGTATCTATACAAGAGTGAAACTGAAAAGTACCAGAGCTTTTGCATTGAAGAATAACAGTACTCCATCCAAACAGACCCAAGAGTAGAAGTAAACACATGTAACCCTACAATCTGTGTGTACAAAACAATGTTTTCATTCCTGTTTCCCAGTAACAGCATGGATATTGATGGAAGAGCAAACAAATCAAACTGACATCACTGGCTGCAAAAAAACCTAGCAAGAATTAAAACACATTCCAGGCCTCCTGCCCCTGCCAGGAAGTATTTTTCCCAACTAGAGAAAGGACACAACAGATGATTTTGTATCTACTTAGTAGAGAGTGCTTTCTTACCTAGTTTCTACCTCTTGATTCACATGATTCACACCTTTTTTCCCTTGTCTCCCAAAATATGGGGTGAAAGTAATTGACTTCCCCTTGTCAGAAGACTAGCATGAATTCTTAAAACTATCTCCAATGGCCAAAAATTTCCAAACCTTGGAAAACTGTGGAGCAGTCAAAGATTTAAGACAACATTTTAGAAGTTATTTGTTTTTTACTACTTACTGTAAATCACATCTGTAAAGAGCAGTATAAATTATTTACTAGATAAAATCTCAGATTTAAAGTGGCAGAGTTTTTATATTAGTAAGAAATGTTCTATTTAAAATGCTCAGTCTGATGAGAAAGACCTAAACAACCAACCACACTGTCTAACCTGTGGCATCCATACAGTGAAGCTGCCAACAGTCCAGGTTTTACTCAGAATCCCCCAATCGCTGGGTACATCAAGTTTCCACAAATCAAGAGGGCCAAAGTTATTAAAGCAGGCTTCTATTAGAAGTTCATGTCCTGCTAGTTTGAAACAGTGAAGCTAGAAGTCAGTCAAGAATTTAAATCTAGACTTCTTCATTATTATTATTATTACCAAAGACTTAAACTTAGGATATTTGAAATTCTTTGTCATGCATTTTTTAAGATATTTTCTACACATTTAAAAGGGATTTTATGAATTAAATGAATGCAACTTTGCTTTCAGGAGACAGGCTTTAAGCCACAAAATTTTAGCGAATCATTCAGCTGAAATTCTTGTCACAAATAGTGATGCACATACGCTCAACTTTAAGTATGTGAATCACTCCACATGGCAAGTAAGCCTATTCATATGAGTACAAGTAGATTGCTGCTTTAATGTTTGCTGTAGAAAGAGTAGAGACAAAAATCTGCAGCTCTGTAAAGTTCAAATAAGGCATCAACACCAACATCGGCATTTCTTCAACAAACCTAGAACAGCACATATAATTCAGCAAATAGATTTTAATACTGCACCGACACATATCTGCAGTTTTGACTAAGAAACTGCTTTGGCACAAGGGTATGTACTGAAGGTGGTCTTTTGTATTTTCAGACATTGGCACTAAGTATTACAGAAAATGGACTGAAGTTTTAAATACCTTAACTCAATATTTTAATTGATACTGTCCAAAGTCACCAGCTGCAAGAGCCAGACCCCAGTTTTGGGAACCCTTCTCTTAGGGAAAGGTGGACTACTCCCACCTAGGAGTGCTAGGCTGCCCAGTTGCACAGGAGAAAATAAAGCACTGGTCCCACATCCTTCTCTTACATGATAGCTACCACGTCAGGCATTTGGCATACACAGAGCAAGAGACCATGTCTTTTGGGGAGGGAGAGAGGAGGCAACTGTTACTAGAATAGTGTCTCCGTAATCTCTGTTGGTTATTTCCAGTATGACTAAACCAGAAAGACTAAGCTCACTGCATGTAAGAGAATGCCAATGATGATCGAATTACAGCAAAGCATTAATGTTCCTGCAACATAAGCACAAGCTGACACTTGTCAGCATGCTGACACTAAGGGCACCATCCCCACCCCAATATGGAACCACTAGTGTAGTAATTTGTACCTCACCCAACATATGGTCCTTTTCAGAGGAAAATGAAACCTAAAGGTTTGGACCTCAGATACAACATCTACAGTAAGCAAGGATAAAAGGGGAACAAGGAGAGAACAAGCCCCCCAGTCTCTCAGCTTTACTTATCTTACTTGATATTAGAAACAACTTCACAGATAAAGGTTAACCTGAGCTTTTAAGAAGTTACGGCATTGCCTGATCCTGTCTTGCACTTCCGCATTCTCGTAACAGAGTTGACTGCCCGGAGGTCATATGTAAGAACAGAGCTGTTAGGTAATGTGGGAAGAAGTAAGCAATGTTCATCAGTAATTGTATCAACAGCTGACGGAACAGGCACTCAGAGTTTCGGGTATGAATTATTCATCTGTTCCTTTCATTCAGAAAATTCTGAAACTGCAAATTACCAGCTTCCCACATGCAGTGAAATGATGCTATGGTCATTTTGCAAGTTTCAGTCACATGCCACTGACTTGTGAACATGCGAGCATTGGAAGAGGAAACCATCCCATTAGATTTGATAATATCCATGCTCTAAAGGGACATGTTGTTAGATCAGGCTTCCCACTCACTAAGATACTGGAGTAATGACAACCCATTGGCACATACAGATTCAGCAATTATATCATTGTAATGATACCCAGGCTAGAGAGGCCATCACTGAGGAGATCAACAGACTCATTAGAAAGTTAAGTGAATACCTGAATTGAGTTTCTCCATGGGCAGCTCCTGTAGGTCAACAGCTTGTGTTATAAACGGCTCTGCCTTGACTGGAGGACCTTTCTGTTCCCCTTTAAACAAAGGCTACCTCAGACCATGCTTGACAATCTGTGAAATACTTGTGAGAATAGCAGCAAGGGGAAGAGATGCGGTCCAAGAAACCCAACCACATTTCCCCTTGAAGAACATGCCCCCGTCCAGGAAGCGTCAGTAGCTGAGCTACAGAGAGCAGCCCCATGCTGGCCCCTTCTCGCCTGCCCTGCCAGGCTCCCCACACAGGTGCCCTGCAGAAACTCACCCCTGGGAAAAGTCTAGGGAAAACACAGGCATGGCCACGTGCTTCATGAGCCACTTAGCAGTTTGAGAAACTAATATGAAGCAGCCAGTTATTTTGACCTGTTGCTGTACAGCGCACGCAGCTCGCTGTCATCCATTTCCTCCTAGCTAAGCTGGTGGGCTATCGGCATGGAGCCGACAGCTGTGGTTTCTCAGAAGTCAGCCCTTACACCACAGGACACGTGAATGCTCAGAAGGAGTCAGCAGCCTGTCTAGACCACTCTGTCATCCAGATATTAATGCAAATGACAGGACTGGGCAACAGCTTGTCCATATAGGTTCTGCATGTGTGGACTACCTCCTCACTGGCATCTGTGAACACTTCCCACTCCATTGACCAGCTCACCAGCTGAGACAACTCGCTTTCAAGAGGCCTCAGACTTTCACCTCAGTACACCCAGAGCAAGAGGGAAGGCCCTCAAAGAAAGCTCCTGCTATCCCCCGAAGCTTGCAACTGGCCAGCCTCCTTTTGCAAGGACAAACAAGGACATAAAGTCTCCCAGAACAACTCCAGTAGCATTTGCAAGAAGCAGGCAGAGTACTGACAAAGTAGTTGGGGAAAGCAGAGAAAGTTACCTTTCCTCATGCTAACCTCAGAGGCCCTGCTTTGCCAAGGAGATATAAGCTCAGCAGTGAAACATCTTGTGTTAACACCTCAAAACTGGGTTATACTATAGCAATACTCCCCCTTTAAACAGTGTGGAGAGAAGCATGCAGATAAGCAGCAGCTGAGAAGAAAAAACACAGGAAAGTGTAAGGCTTTGTAAAACTGTCACACAGAACAAATAAAGTATGGGACACCTCCCCCTTCTCTCCAAAACCTCTTACCCCAAAGCAGCTCATCTACAAATATAGCACCTAAAAACAGGTTTTCAGTTCTACAAAGAAAGTGGTCACATTTCATCAGTCCTGTAAAGTTGGAAGTTACAATAAACTAGTTCTCATCTTCCATCAAGGAAATAAGCTGTATCTTACAAGTTTTGCTCGAGCCAATGTGCGCGCGCACACACACACACACACACTTATGCATCTCTTAGGGAAACTCTATCCTTTACAAAGAACACAACTGGGTTAAGAGACCTGCGGACGACCACTGTTTCAGCAAATTGTGAGAAAGCACAAGGTAAGTTGTGTCTACCTTTGTAATCTATGAAGGCAATATATATCCTTAAGACTCAAAAACATACATTACTCCACAGTTCCTCTATAAAGCACATTTCATCCAAACTTAAAGGAACAGGTTTCCTTTGTTATATTTTAGGACTACAGACAAGTAACTGAAAGGAGAAAAAAGTCTTTGCAGGGGAGTGCAAGAAGCTTTCATAACCTTCATGAAAATTTAGCTCAAGTGAATGACTCTCTTCACTCTTCTTGGTTCAGTCTTCCCAAATACTGCTTCCAAGTTATTTTTTAATTTTATCATTGTAACAAAAAGGATTTGGAGAAAGCTGAGTCACCAAAAGTTGTTTACAATGCCAAGGGCAACTGCATGTCAATCCTATAAATACTGGAAGGTAGGGATGAGAAAGTGGCCAATAAATACCACATTTGCATTGCGTTGCAGGAACAGGAAACTCAGTACATAATTCTGAGAACAGTGAGGTTAAGAAAGGAAAGTCTGAAAAGCCACAGGAGTGAAGAGGACACAGAAGAGAAAGCAAGAATAAAAAAATATGAAAAAATACCAGGTACTAGAAAAAGTGGTAAAATAAAAACCTCAAGCAGATGGGAAATTGGCAGAGGACAGGGAGGTAACCCACAGGATCAAAGGTACTTTTTGCAGGAATATTCCAGTGTAGGGACAAATGTCACCAGTGACTTCCTGTTGACTGCTTGGGCTGGGCTCAGTTTTTAATTACTCCTGGCACTCATCATTAATGTCAGATTAAAAAAAATGGAACTGAGGAGGCAAAGTCAGCTGTGAAGCAAATGTCATCTGTTTGATGCATATAACCATGGCACCTCACATGACATTTCCTGATGTGCAGAAGCATAGGTAGGATGGGATGTCCAATGCATCAAAATGGGAACTGGATTAACAAGCCTCCAGAATTCTTGTCACAGATACAGTGCCACACAGGTAACAGCTGGGAAACTGCCTACCACACATCATCTGCCCCAGCAACAGTCCTCAGCCTCCTCTGCCTTGACTGCAGATGACTACTGGATGGGCTCTTATAGTTCAGTTTGGGATCACTGGTCTGCAGCCCCCTCTTCCTTAGTAGCTCGGGAAGGTACACTCTTGGCCTGTAATGCTGCAGGTTGCATGAAGACACCGTCCACAAAGATCTAAGCACAGGGAAGTTTCACAGAAGCTCAGTAATTTCTCCACAATGACAAGAGAACATTCAGTAATACTATCACAGGTTATAAGAGGAAATTGTGATTTGTGACCTCCTGCAAAACTCTTTCAAACTTACAGCTCTTGCTCATTCACTAGCCACCCTGAGCTGAGAGCAGGACCTTTACAGTAAAGAATTGGATGCACCTGAGATAACAGCAACTCTTACAGCTGCAACATGCAAGGCTGCAGGGAAAGCACAGTCTGAATCCAGCACAGGCTTCTCTCCATCCCCATCAAGAGACAGACATTACACAAATACAGACCCCTCAGAATATTGTTCTGAGATTGTGCCAAATTCTGCTCTTAGAAACCTCATCAGATGACCTTGCACAGTCCTGGAGAAGAAATGTCTTCCTCCATTACCTAATAAAGCACATGAGTACCAACACTGCCCCTACAGTGCTGTTACTTGTCCAGAAAAGACTTTGTTTTAGCTCAAACACACACCTCGCTCCAGAGTGTTATCCTGGCTTAGTGAGTCTGCTGAGCTGAAAAAAAAATTTTAAAAATCTGTGCATTTGCCTGAGGTCAGATGTTCACAACAGAAAGAGCTATAGCAGTTTAAAAATACAATTGCACCCATCACAGCCCTCATTCCCCTTCCTGTTTCCCCTTCTTGTCTTTATTTTCACCAGAGGCTATGGCCCACACACCAGAACCAGTGGAAAAGAGCACGTGCTTGGCTGTGTCAGTGAGACACAGGACCAGGATCTCTCCTTCAGCAGCTGACAACGGGCGTGTAAGCTAAGCTGCCAGTCCCTGAACTTCAAGATGAGAAGGAACATTTATACATTTCACTCCTACCGACTGCAAAGACACTAGCTGCCACCTCAGGTGTGAAATGCAGAGTCCCCCTTATAACATGGAGATAACATAGTTTATCCGACGATATCTAGAGCGTACTACAAATGCAAAGTGTATTTAACTTGTAGTTCTTTCGCTAAGGTTCAAGCAAACATGCACCATGCCATGCCTGCCTCAAGCTAAAAGCACGCCTGGGTATTATGGTTCAGAAACTGCAAGCAAACTCATTATAATTCTTTGATCTCTCAGTTAGCCCGAGGGTTTCACAGGCCTAGTAGTCAATTTGTGACAGGATTAAGTGTATAAACCTAAAGAACTAGTTTGAGGTGCATGGGAATAGGACAGAGATGGGAAAGAGCTTCTGAGGAAGATGCAGGGTTCTGGCCACCCAGACAACAGACACTGTGTACATGACCAAAAGCTCAAGACAGAGGAGCTGGAATAGTTCACTTCAACCACTTGTGCCAGGAGGAGACAATGCATACTGAAAAAGCATATGCATGTCTGATGATTTTTGAGGGTGCCAAGAATCACATTACATCCATCACCGATTCAAGTCTTCCTGAGCAACCACATGCAAGAAACATGAACATCCAACTTGCTGATTAATTCTCTCTCCTCTTGCAGCATCTCCTTACTTCAATTTAAGCACAATGCATAACACTTGCATGACAGAAAAGACTGTCCACATAGAAGTCCACAAAGCTGGAATTCCACCTAAGAGAGATGGGTAGCTGCTTTGGAAACATCCCACCAGGAGATCACTGTTTGACTGAAGGTGTGCTTCTACAAGTGGCTTCAGTAGAACTAAGGCCACATTACAACCAAAAGGGCAGTCCTGCCTTCCCTCTCCTTCAAGTAGTCTCTCTTGGAATACCACCCTTGCAGCCCAATGGCACACCAGATCATCCAGCCAGATGAAAGGTGGAGAACGAGGCAGACCACTCTCTTTTGCAGTAGTCCATGCTAAGGTCAGCCTATGCCACTGATGAAACTCCCCCCAGGAAACTCAAGATCCACTGTTATTCTCAAGTTACTTTTGAACAACACATGGAAAGTTTTCTGTGGTAGTAACAAACAGCCATGAATACAACCCTAGAAGCAAAACAACTGCCCAAGTGCACAACAAAGGTCTTTGAAACAACTTGAAGTCTGCCCCACACATGTCTTCAGACCTGCTCTGTAAAGCATCTTTGGCTTGACCACACACTTCTGCAAAGATTTTGCTGAAATTACTTCAGCTGTTCCAAACTTGGAAGAAGCCATCAGAGATGGTCACTGGGCTCTTATTTTAAGCAGGTGTTTTAAAGCCCTGCAGTTCACATTGGCAGGTACTTAGAATTAGGCTTAGTTACTACCTTAAAGCAACCTGTGGGGAGATTATCAGAACTATAAGATACAGAGAAATATGATTAGTATTTGTGATGTGCGTGCAGTCTGTTACAGCCCAACGCTTCATAACCACAGCAGTTTCCGTACTTTACTAGTTCTGGGTTATCATTCCATTGTCTCTGCCTAGAAAACTAGCATGCACCTATGCTAGCACTGCTTGAATCTCATACTG